TGGCCACGCTGCGCAGCGTGTGGGAATCTTAGTTCCCCGACCAGGGATTGAACCTGTGCCCCCTGAAGTGGAAGTGCAGAGTCTTAACCAGCAGACTGCCAGGGAAGTCCCACAAGAGTCCTATTTATTTATATATTTATTTATTTAAAAATATTTATTTATTTGTCTGTGCCAGGTCTTAGTTGCAGCATTCAGGATCTTCAGTTGTGGCATGCAAACTCTTAGTTGCCTCATGTGGGATTTTAGTTTCCCGACCTGGGATCAAACCCCGGGCCCCCTGTGCTGGGAGTGCAGGGTCTTAGCCACTGGACCTCCAGGGAAGTCCCAGAGTCCTATTTAGATGGAGGCAGGAAAGTCAGTAAGTAGAGGACGTGATGACAGGTGCAAGAGGTTGGAATGATGCAGGGAAGGGCGTATGAGCCAATGAATGCAGGTGGCTTCTGGAAACTGGGAAAGGCTAGGAAGTGGATTCTTCCCTACAGCCTCCAGAAGGAACCCAGACCTGTGGACACACTTTAGACTTCTGACCTCTAGAACTGTAAGATAATAAGTCTGTGTTGTTTTAAGCCACTAAGTTTGTGGTCACTTGTTACAACAGCAATAGGAAACTAATACAGTGGGGTAGATCCCAGCTGAGAGTTCTGTTTTGACCACACTCACCTTGAGATGCCTGAGACATCCAGCTGGAGATGCTGAGTAGTGGTCTGGAGGTCAGGACTGGAGTCAGAGACCTGGGAGCCATTGGCGTATAGGTGGAATTTTAACACCCCTGCAAGAGGGGTTCTAGCGGAGGGAGGCCCGCAGTGCCTCCCCACCTTCTCCACGACGGGGCCCAAGCTGCTAGTGATAATGTCTCTGGGCAAGTCTAGGGTCGGCAGAACTGGCTGCTCAGCTGTGGGCCAACAGCCTGGACACCGAGGCACCCTGGCCAAGGGATCGTTTTCTCCGAAGCCACTCCTGGCTCCTCAGGCACATTGTCTGGGAAGCCCTGGGAGGGCCCGAGTGGAGAAGACTGGCAAGGACCAAGCCAGGGGAAGCCAGAGATCAAGCGGAGAAGCGGGCTGCAGGGGAGGCTGGGGAGGAGGAGTGGGTGGGACCCAGGAAGGGGCGGGACGAGGTGAGGCCGGGCATCCACACACTGGGGTGGGGTCAGGCCTGAGAAGAGGCCGGGAAAGGTGGAGTTTGACCTCCGCCAGAGGGGCTGAGGTTGGATCCTTGTGAGCAGAGTTGAGGTTAGACTTCGATTAAAACAAAACAAAAACACACGAAGCTGCTGATTCTCAGTGGAGAATGGACTTTGGGTGGCCGGAGGGGGTCCCCCCCCCCCCCACTGCCCTTTACTCCCCCCGCCCAGCCCCCAGCTCCCCAGGGGACTGGGTCACTGGACCTTGCTATTTCCTGCTCCTGGCTGCCACTGCTCAGAGACTATGGAGCTGTGGAAGCAACTGAGGCAGGCTGGACTGGTGCCCCCAGGGCTGGGCCCACCCCCGCGGGCCCTGAGGGTGGTGCCCCCAGTGAAGAGGGTGGATCAGACCCTCATGTTCCCAGGGGCTGACACTGGAGGTGCCAGGGAGAGTCTGCTGTGGCTCTGGAAGGAGCTGGTGAGTAAGGGGTTTGGAGGGGTAAGAGATGGGGTGGGGGGAGTGGATAAATGAATAGGAATGAATGTAAATAAAAAGGGCCAGAGATTGAAAGACAGAAAGTCAGAGACAGGAATAGAGAAATAGAGGCAGAGGCAGACACAGACACACCCAGAGAACGATGGACACAGACAGAGACACAGAAAGACGCAAAGAGTGAGAGACAGGACTAGAGAGAGGCAGAGACAGAGAGACCCAGAAAGAGACGAGAGATGGAAAGCAGAGATTGAGAGCCGCAACAAGGACAGACTCATTAAATCTGAAAGACAGAGAGGTGGAGACAGTCCAAGGCAGGGCAGAGAAATAGAGACAGACAGAAAGACAGGGATATGGAAGGACAGAGACAGACAGAGACAGCCAAGTAGAGACAGAGAGATGGAGACAGATCACAAGAGAGGGAGACCTAATAAGAGAGACCAAGAGACTAAGGCTCAAGACACAGAGAAAGAATGAGAGAGATGGAGAGAGCGAGGGACAATGAAATGGAGAGACCACGACAAAGGGAGACAGGGCAGAGATCAGAGACAGAAGCAGGATGGCAGAGTCCAGGGACACAGTGAGGATCCCACCTGCGGTGCCGTGGGCCAGGACTGTTAAGGAGAAAGTAATTTATGACGCCTGTTAAAGATGGCAAGGGTCTAGGTATGAAGACTCTGCTGTGATGGGGATTTTGCAGTAGAGGAGAGAGATTGGGCTCAGCTCTGAATACAGCATGGGCAAGGGGGAATATACAGCCAAGGAGCAGGAGAGGGGTCAGGGGGTAGAAAATTCCAAGGGGGAAACATCAGGGGTATAGGGGGGATTCTGGCTCAACCTATGTAGCAGGATTCTTGCTGAAGGCAGGTCAGGGTGAGCCGCCATCACCTGGGGGAGGGTGGAGGGTGAGGAACCCGATCAAATAAGGAGGAGGGGGGATTCTTGCTAAAACTGGATTTTACCAAGAAGTGCTGATGGGCCTAGGAAAAGGTTCAGGATCCTGAGTAAAGTTTGGTCAGGCAAAGAATGTTTTCTGGGACTTGAGCTGAGACCTGCTCCCATGCAGGTTTCATGGCAGAGGCACACTAACCCCTTGCCCTCTGGGGTGGGATGCCCATGACTCCCCCTTCCCACCCACAGGTGAACCTCCGCCTAGTGGATGTCCAGCTGCTGGGCAAGCTATGCAGCCTGGGGTTGGAGATGGAGGCACTTCTGGAGGAACTGATCACCTTCCGGGAAGAGGAGGAGGACAGAGAGCTGGAAGGGAAGCAGGAGGGGGCCTGCGGTCCAGCCCCAGGTCACCGCCTCCCTGACTTTGAAATGACTATCTGAGGCCCTGCTGCTGTGCTTTTGTACCCATGAATGGTATGCAAATTTATGCCAAGAAGATGGGGAGAGTTGTAGGTCAAATCAACCTGCAAACGTCGATTTGGCATTGGCACGCGCTCCTTGAGCAAGTGCTTTCTCTGAAAATGTCGGAGATTAGATTGAGGGGTGGGCCCCTGAGCTGCGGGCGTGTTTGCAGGTGATGTGGGAGGCTTGCAGAGAAACTCTAGGTGTATTTGCAGATGCGCTGCAGATGTGTTGCAGGGGAGGCGTGGGTCTTTGCAAATATGATGGAGATGCGTGCAGATGGCTATTGAGTGCTTGAAAAGTGGCTAGGTCTGACTGAGGTGTGCTGTACGTGTAAAATACACGCTGAATTTCCAAGCTGGGTGTGATAAAAAGGATTGACAACATTTCAATAATCGTAAAAATTAATTACATTTTGAAATGATAATATTCTGGGTATGTCGGGATAAATAAAAATGTGACTAAAGCTAATTTCACCTGTTTACTTGTAAACTCTTTTACTGCGGTAAAATACATATAACATAAAAGTTACCATTTTAACCATTTTTAAGTGTACAATTCAGTAGTGTGAAATATATTCACGTTGTGTGAATGTGTTTTCATCTTACAAAACGGAAACTGTACCCCTTAAACAACAAGTCCCCATTCCCCCTCCCCCAGCCCCTGGCAACCACCCTTCTACTTTGTGTCTCTATGAATTTGCCTACTCTAGGGACCTCATGTAAGTGGGATCACACAGTATTTGTCTTTTCGTGACTGGCTTATGTCACTTAGCATAATGTCCTCAGGGTTCATCCATGTTGCAGTGTGTATCAGAATTTCCTTCCTTTTTAAGCCTGAATAATATTCCATACATGTGGTATGTACAACCACATTTTATTTGTCGATGGGCCCTTGGGTTGTTTCTACCTTTTTTGGCTGTGGTGAAATACATTGCTCTGAACAAGGGTGTACAAATATCTGTCCAAGTCTCTGCTTTCAATTCTTTTGGGTATGTACCCAGAAGTGGAATTCCTGGATTGTATGGTAAGTCTCTGTGTAATTATTTGAGGAAGTGCCGTACTGTTGGCTGTACCATTTGTCATTCCCACCAACAGTGCACAAGAGTTCCAACTTTCCACCTCCTTGCCAACACATTTTCTTTCTCTTTTTTTCTTTTTCCTTTTTTCATGATAGCCATCCTAATGTCTGTGAGGTGATACCTCATTGTGGTTTTTGATTTTGATTTCCCTAATGACTAATGATGTCGAGCATCTTTTCCTGTGCTTATTCATCTATTTCTTTTTACATCTTAAAATAGGACTGCTAGAAAGCTTAAAGTTACATAAGTAGCTCCCACTGTATTTCTCTTGCACTGCACTATTTCAGACGTTTGAAAAAAGAATGTGGGTGCAAGCAGATGAGCAGCGAGGTTTCCTCCATATTCCCAGATGCGTTGCAATTGTGTTACGGCGCCACCTGCAGGAGACAGGCAGATATCTGCAGGTGGCAGCCGACGAGAAGCAGGGCTGCAAATATAACTCCTGCCCAGGTCCACATTTGTAGAAAAGATGCCCAAGGCAGCAGGTGGAGGGCTCCAGCCTGAGGAGAGACAGCTCTTCTGGGAAGACAGTTGGACATTCTTCATAAAACCATTACTCCCAGTGAGGAAAAATACATGCTTGCATTTCTTCGATTCTTCAAAACAATTTTCTGGTTGGGAGTGAGGATGTTCCCAGAGAAGTGAGATGCTGGCAGGTGCTGAATTCCTGTCCGTGGGGATTTCCGTCTTCAGAAAAACCTGCTTCTACCCTAGAGCCCGCGAGCCACAACTACTGAAGCCCGCGCGCCTAGAACAAGAGAAGCCACTTCAGTAAGCCCGCGCACTGCAACGAAGACCCAACACAGACAAAAATAAATAAAATAAAATTTAAAAATACTCTGCTTCTTTTTGTGCACTGGAGTCACCCAAGACTCGAGGGGTTTGGGGGTTTGGGCTCCATCCTCAAACTGGTCCTCCTTTGCCTACCTTAGCCAGGTCTTCAGCTGCTGGGAGTTCTCCTGTAGGGGGTGGTGCTGCGGAGGATGCTGGAAGTCAGACCCCAGTACCCAGGGAAGGGGAAAGATACCCCAAGAGCATGCAAATAAGCAGAGCCCCCTCTCCGACACTGGGCACTCTAGAAAGAGGCTGGGGGCAGTCCGGGTCTCTTGGCAGCTACATCGAGTCCGTGGGGGTCACCAGGGCTGGGGAGGTGGGGCTCCATGGCCACAGGGTCTGGGTCATGCTTCACAAATGCCAAGGTACTCTGCCTCTTGGGGAGAAAGAGACTGGGAGGGAGGGAGGCACAGACGGGAGACTGGAGGGGGCGACTTGGGAGGGAATGTTTACTATTCAAGAACAGCATGGTGGGTGGCCCCTGATGTCTGGGTGGGAGTTGCTCTGGGCCATGTCCTGGGCCATAGAGGTGACATCTATGGGGGAATCACCTCAGTCAAACACTCAGGGAAGTTTGGGTGAATGTGGTCAGCTCCCCCTCCCCGGTACTGTCCTTCTCAATGCCAACTTACTGAGCTACATCCAGCAATGATCAAGTCAGCACCAAGTCTGTCCTCTGCCCAGCAAGGTGGGGGGACCCCTTAACACACAGAGATAGCTAAGATGATCAGGGCCGGGATGGGGGAGCACGGACTCCCCCATCTGCCAACATCTCATTTCTCTGGGAATATCCTCACTCCCAAATAGAAAATGTTTTGAAGAAAAATTGCAAAAATGTAAGCGTGCACTTTCCTCACCGGGGAGCATGGAGCAGGATGGGAGAGGACTCAGATAAGGCAAGAGGCCCAGCCTGAAACACCAGGAAAGTTGTTCTTGGAAAAGAAACTAAGGAATAAGTAAATATGAGCCAAGCAAAGAAAGAGAATGGGAAAGAGG